AGAAAGATAAAGATCAGTTTCTTTTTTTTTTTTCTTTTTATCAGATAATTTTATTTTAAGATTGTATTCTTTATCAAAAAGAAACACTTCGCGAATAATTTGAGAGAAGAAATTAGATTATAAAATATATATATATATATACATTGTATTTGTTAACAAGAGTCAGTTAATGACGCTATAAAGCACAAAGTAGATAAATAGTTTCTAACAATAAAACTTGAAGATTTATCGCACTTAATAATGGCACACTGTCTAAATACAATGATTAAAGTTTATTATTTGCTTTCTCTCGTAAAACTGACTCTTACTTCGTTACTTTGCTAACTCGATTCTCAGTGGATAAAAACGAAAAAGGAAAGAAGGAAAAATGAAATATTTTCGAGTTGGGCAAAATAAATCTTTGCTCGTAGAAAGATTCACCGAATTATTTTTTACATTAAAAATGATCCACTTATCCGCCAACAGGAAAATAGGACGACAAAAAATGAAAAAATTGCTATTGGGTTAATTTCATTCGGTCGCACCATCGGTTTTTCAATTCTTCGTGCACAAATACCGAATGCAACGTGACGATAATAATAACGGAATATAAAAGCTTCGATCGTAAATTACTTTTGATTAAAAACGATTTAAACACGATTATACTTGTTATTTTTGAAAATTGTAAATTGTCGAAATTCTTGTCGAATCGATACAATTTTTTTGTAAGAAGAGTGTCGTAAAAAAAATTTGAAAGAAATAAAAAGAATTTTTTACGCGAAAAACACGCAAAATTCCAGGAAAGATAAGAATTGCTCGGATGTAACCTCAATGTTTAAAATCACACATGATATATAATACATTATGCATGAAGATATTTAAGAGCTGGCTGGAAATTAAAAGAAGAGACGAATGCATTGAACGTCAAGCTCTTTTGTAGTTATATTCATTCGTATCTTTAATATCTCTCTTTATTTTATTTTTTTTTTTTTTTTTTTTTATATCCAATGTTCATTCCGCTCTTGGAACATCCTTTTATACGCGAAGGTCGTTTCTAAAAAATATTAATATTTTCTTGGAGCAATTTTTAAAGCTTGAAAAAATTATTCCAAGAAAATGTATTTAAGAAATTTACGAAGACAAGGTCGGGGATTGTCAAAGAAAAATTTTAACAATTTTATTCTATTATCATCGATCGACAAACTTTATTAAATTCGAATTAAATATCGTGTATTGTTAAAAAAAAAAAAAAGTTTAAATCACGGTTTAATTTGATCAAAGATAAAAGATATTATTGGGTAGAAATAATGGAAAAAATCTGGACGAAAAATATAGTTTGTTTAATCCGTTAAACAGTTACCAGATGTTTGCCGCATTTAGTATCACTAGTCGCTAAACAACCACTCATCCAATTAGACCTCGCACTTAATTCAAACCACGTCATAAAGAACGTTATAAAGGAAAAGTGAAACTAAAAATGACTTCCTCTATCTTCTACAAAAGTCAAATTTCAAAAATAAACACAAAATTCATAAAAATGATATAAATTTTCTCTATGATATTCACACGTATATATACGTATAATATTCCAAAAAATATTTCAAAAAAATAATCTGGACATGGACAAGCGTTTCTCCAATTTTCCGAAACAGAATGTGAATGGGATTTAATCATCATCATTTAATCTATTTAGAAATCCGGAGTACGTCGATTATAACCTCGATCGATTGATTTCTCGATACATGAAATACAAATGTATAATAAAATTTCAAAACGAAAAAAAAGAAAAATAATAATTTATAGATAACTATGATCTTTTTCTAATTTCAGAACGTGAAAATGGAATTTAATCATCGGGAATTCAAAGTATGTCGAAATGACTCGGTCATAACCTCGATATTTTTCGATACAAAGCATAAATATATATTCAAAAAATCAATTCAAAAAAGAAATAATCCGTAGATAATTACCATCTTTTTCTATATATAAATCGAAACACGAAAAAGGTGAAACGAAATTTCGTTCATCAGAAGTTGGATTATTAGGTCCATATCGATCTCTCATTTTTTTCGATATAAAATACATATGTATATATATATTTAAAATTCCAAAAATTCAATTCGAAAAAATAATCCATGGATAATTTACTAATCTTTTTTTTTTGTTTTTTTTTCTTTTTTTTTTCGAAATTTCGAAACAGAACGTGAAATGGAATTTAATCATCGGGATATCTGGTATATGTCGAAATGATTACTCGGTCATAACCTCGATCTTGAAAGTTTCGTGTGTACGCGTTATGTAAATACACATGCGTGCGGCTGTGGTTGCGGGCATAAAATGACGTGAACAGGTGATAGAGTCTAACGGAACGTCTGAACGGTACTCGTTTCTTCTTTTTTTACCTCTCTCCTCCCCCCACCATCTTTTTCCGCTCGTTCTCTCGATCGTCCGTGCCATCCAGCATCCTAAATCTCCTCTCGAGCCCCGTAACCTTGGCCCACTGAACAAAAAAGTAGTCCGACCGAGAAACGAAGGTTCGCTCGGTGAACTCGGGATTAATTGATTATTATAACACGTGACCTCTATCCCGTTCCACGTTTCTCCGATTATTCTCTCGTTAATTTCACGATTACTTTTGAAAAAAGAAGGAACAATTTTTTACAAGAATTTTCAGAGGATAGGGATTCGATTCTCGATAATTTCGAGTAAATAAAGAATTGGCGCATTTTAAATTGCATTATTTTTATTTTTTTTTTTAAGTTTTCTACTCGGCACAAGGTGACTTATCGAGTTAAGTTGATTTAAAATGAAACGACATGATTTTTGAACGGAAGTTAGGTATTGGAAGAGAAAGGGAAAGATAAACAGATCTAATTCTAACTTTAATTTAGCAAAGTTAAATTGCTTGTAACTTGAAAAAAATAAGATTAAACGGATGCTTTTGCAATTAATCAATTTTACTATATCTATCTTAATTAAATTTCCGCTTCGTTTCGATTTTGTATATCACGTTCGCGTATATTCGTTTATTCGTTTTAATAAAAGTAGCTTATTATTAAATTAACAGTATTCGTACTGTTAACAATAAATCCAAATACAATTTGCGTGCAAATTAAATTATTAAATGATATAAAATCCAAGTATATAACGGATTAAATTCTTGAGAAAGCAAAATAGAAAAAAAAAAAAATGCTTACAATGCCTTAACTCGCCAATGATGCAATTACAAGTAGAAAGTGAATGTCGTCCGTTTGTGCTAGCTGATATTGACATTCTCGCGTCGTTCCCTCGAAAATCCTTTTCCTTTGAGAAAACTTGAAAATTATTACACGAAATAAATAAATAAATAAATAAAATCATCGAACATAATTAAACATTACATAAATTGACTTGCAACATTGAAATGAATATACATAGATCGGTCGAAAGGAGCGGTTCGAATAAAAATTTTAAGCGGCACGGGAGTTCATCGTCCTTCTAACCATTTAAGATGGGCCGTTTATCGATTACTACACGAAATAAGCTGCCGTACACATATATATATATATATAT